GGAGAGACTGGAACCCACTACGTTGCAGCTGCTGGAGGAGGAGGACGAAGAGCGTTTCCAGGGGTGGAAGCCTTTACCGAAGGAAGAAGAGCTGTCCGACAGGGAGGAGGGAGACGGGCTGGGGCTGCCGATCTTATTACAGGTAGCAGCAAGCATGGCCAGAGGAGTGGATCCCAACCTCGGTTCTTCCTGAGACCCGGAGCGGAGGAGAGGGGTGGGGGAGGGGTGGGGGGCAAAGGACCGGTGGGGGAGGGAAGAAATGTGCATTAGTCCCCTGGTAGCCTCTAGACGCCCCACTGCTCCCCATCTCTAGCTGCGGCACGCCGCCACCAACTCACCTGACACCCCCAGCTGCCCCGGCGCCCGGCTGCCTCCTACTCTACAGGAGGGAACAAGTTTGGTTGGGGCGTCTGATTCCGGAACAAAACGCCACGCTAAAGAAGAGTTTAACAAGAATTCTCGCCTAAGACAACACTCATTTGTGCACAAAGCCCTAGACGCTTTTGAGAAAACGAACAGAAAGTTCAGACTGGGGCGGGAGAAGTTCCCTTGACCGAACCACCTGGGGAAATCACTGGCCTGCATTTAAAGATCGCTACTCTGCCATCCGGAGAGAGCTTTGAAAACACTGTTCCGGTACCCCTCAACCCATCCTTGGTTGCTTCTCCCTGGCCCAAAGAGGCCAAACTGTAAGGCTTACTCGCTTTTCCAGCCTGCCTTCCTGCCTTCCTTCCTACCTTCCTTCCTTCCTTTTTTTCTTTCTTTCTTTATAAGTGTATCTACAATGATAGAAATAAGACGAGTTGAACGTACCTGCAATACAGGGCGGACTGAGGAAAAAATTTAAGGGGAAGGGGAAAAAATCCGCAGTATGCCCAGGAGGGAGAAAACTTACTCGCGTTCCCCCTCCAAAATCGAGTGTATTAGGGGCTACGCGGTCTCCCGAGTAGGGAGCGGCCGGGCGCTGCGAGGTGGCGGGTCTCAATGCCCTCCAAACCTTTCCTGTGCTGAAAAAAAGTAGCTCTGCCTCTCCTCCCCCCTCTTTCTCTTCTCTCCCCCCACCCGTGTGGGGCGGGGGGGGGGGGCTCTCAATAGAGAGACTGATAGCCCGTGGCCTGGCCGGGGAGACTTTAACCCCCTCCAATCGGCAATAAAAGGAAACTAATTAAACCAGCGAGAGAAGATCCTGAGACTCACCCCTAGAAGTGAAGTTGCCATCACACAGAAGCGCCCTCCTCCTCTCAGAGGATCTTTTTTATATTGATAAATCAGAGGCAGTGTTTTTTTTAGAGGTGTGCAATACAATGATCAGTTCCGCCCATTCCGCCACAATTGTAGCTCCCTCTCCGGCTTTGAAGTGCCGCGGAGGCGCGGCCAACCAATCTGCGACCTCGCCGGGCCGCGCTGCGCGCGCGCCGTGAGGTCTTCGGCGCCTGCGGGAGGGGGGTGAGAGTGTCGCAGAATGTGCGTGTGCACGCGCGTGCAAAGTGATCGCGAGTGTGACCTACCCCGGAGAGAGCCGTACAGGGAGCGAAGGGGTGACTGGGCCAGGGTCTCAAGGACGTGATCAAGAAGGGGAGAGGAGACGTCGTGCAAGCACGGGGGAGTGTATTGGTGAGGGGGGCGGGGGTAACAGTGTGTGACAAAGAGGGGCAGGGGACAGAGCTGGGAAGTGTGTAGTGTAACTGAGTCCCTTTAGCCTAGAAAGTCAGTAGAGACTGCATTCAGTCCCGGGTAGAAAGAGGCGTCCACACGTGTTAAGTGTCGGTGGAGAGTGGGTGTGCCACTGTGAGCGCGCAATAAAGAGGGAAGAGGAGTGTGTGCGTGCGCGCGCGTGCTCACCAAAGCTGGGGGTGGGGAACAGGAACAATGCAATAAAGTGTACGTTCATAAGAGATTGAAGATCTCGAGAAACTGACTGCGAAGTTGAGTGAGGCTGGGTAAATAAATATTCTCAAACCCTACCTCAATTACTAACTTTCTCTGCCTCCTTGAACATAAAAGATGCAGTGATTTTTCTCTTTCTTAGCTCCCTGGACTTTATCAGTATAGTTTTGAAGAAAATCTTGATACTTACCCTCCATTTCCTGACGGTTCAGCCAGATAGGAAGATTGAAAGGTTGGGAAATGGGTGGTGTGGGGCGTGTGTGAGCCTGCTCCTTCCAGTCGTTACTTTGATCTGGTCACTCCTTACTCCCTTTTCCGAGGTGGCTTTGGAGGTGCCCGTCCTGGAGGAGGTGTGTTTGCCCCGCAGCCTGCAGTAAAATTACAAAAGGATTAGGTAGTGAGGGGTGTCCCCCCTCCATGAATGAGAAATTGAGGAGCATTTTACCCAATTTAGAAGTTTTCACAGGAAACCCCACTGTGCCTTTCTGACAGAGAAATCAGAGTGGCCCGAATCTGTTGTCTCCATTTATGTAAGAATGGAAGTGAGCTTTTGACAAAACTTGGGCTCGGTTTCAGTGGCGTCGGTAGTTTGAGAACACCATCTATGAGTGCTCGCGGCATCGTATGCACTTCCTTCCAATTTGCTGCCTTTTGGTCACTTGCTTGCTGTTTTTAATATTAATTGCCTTCAGAAATGTCGTTATAATTCTCTGGTCATCACAATCGAACGTCTTAAACCACAAAAAGGCCAACACCAGAATAAGGGAAAATCCAGTCCTTGGAGTCCTGTTGAATATTCATGCTTTTTAAAACCACAGTAATTTCTGCTTTACCCTGTTAGGAAAACTCTCTGAAGTCTAATTTTAAGAGGGAGTTGGTTAAAATGTGAGTACAGGAGAGAACTCTTCTGTTTTTACTTGGGAGATTCTCTCTCTCTCTCTCTCTCTTTCCCTCCCTCCCTCCCTCCCTCCCTCCCTCCCTCCCTCTCTCTCTCTCTCTCCTCAAATCCATTGCAGCTTCTGAAGATATCAAAAAACAAAAAAATCTCCTGGGTTTTGCTGAAGTTCAAATTAGGCTTCATCATTTGCGTAACTTCCCCTGCACTGCTGAGGCTGATGTTTGGGGAGGCAGGAGTTTGCATTTCCGAAGCTTTTTCCACATGTGCAGATATTGACTGCACATCATATCTATTGATTAAGGGAGTAAGCGACATCCACATACTTTGAAGTAAGTGTGAAGTAAATTAATGAACTGCTTTCTTTCTCTGAAGCCTGACGCTTATCATAAATGCTGTGTTTCTCCCAGCAAGCCCCTCTGAATGATTTTAGCGTGTTGAGAAGGCGTGACAGGCCAGCCCAGAAGGAGGAAGGGGTGGGGGAAGGAGGGAACTCCGTTTAACAAATAAAGGAGAATTAACTTCATTGCTTTGGTCTCCTTCTATAATGATATTCATTTTAAGAACCTAATATATAGTTGTTCAAATGTGGGGTTTAACTTTAATCAATACCACCATCCTCAAAGGTGGAGGAAGCGCTTTGAAGGAGGACTCCTTCATGAGCACAGTTGCTTTAGCTATTTATCCTAGCTTCTGCGAGGGAAAGAGGCAAGACTATTAAAAAGTTAAATGCTGAGCATGACAGTAAACAGAGGCGTTAACTACTGCTCCCTCAAAACTGCCAGGAATTAGAGAAACTCAGCATCATGTGACTGCAATGTTGAGCTACTCAATTTTAAGCTAACTCTTAAAATATTTCATTTGTATAAATGCATTTTAGAATCACATGTCATTCTTCCTATGACAATGAGTCACAATGTTAGTGTGAATTCAGTGAAAATACTAGATTCTTCAATTTGCATGAGGTTTGCTTTCAGCTTAGGGGACTTTCTAATGTAATGTGCTGTTTTCATTAGAAAAATATATATCAGTGTATCACTAATGTATACTGTACACACACATATAGACACACATCAAAATTTACACATTCCACTTACTTCTGCTTCTTTTTTGCCAACCACCCCCAAAGCAGTGGTTAATATTTGTATCATGAGGCTGTCAAGTTCAAACCCTCACAGGCTGGCTTCTACTGTAAATGAGACTTGTCCTGATGGCACTCCTCCATCTGAGTCCTGTGCCACGGGAGAGAACTCTATGTAGCTCAGGATAGATACAGCAGCCTGTTTAAGCCACTGAGGGCAGAGTTCAGTTCACCTGTTTTGGAATTGCTCACTGCTTTTGCAGTATTGTACTGTAATAACTGAGATGTTTAGAGAAAAGGAGGAAGAAATACAGGAAGTTCAGATTTCCAGACATCAATGAAAAGTTTACCCTACCCAATAAGAAGCTTAATGTGTTGGAGGGAATAGGAGTACACAGTGTGCTGTTTTCTTGCAAACTTGTGGGATCTACTATCAATAAAGATAAGAATCTATTAGCATTCTGTATGCATCTGCAGCATAAATTTCATTTGAATTTCAAATTTAATAAACCAGGAGGTTTTTAATCATCCCTGGTTTTATTTGTTTGATATTAACATGCTTATTGACCGGGTCTGGTGACCAGTTTGATCATTACAGGACAGCAAAAAGTTAATTAAAACGACCACAGCCCCTTAATCATATCATCTGTCTCATCCATGTCTCTCTCTTTATTACCGGTGATGATGGATTGTCTCCCAGATTAATTTCTCTGTTTCTTCGATTTGGACAACAGCTTTTGGGACCTAATTTACATCCCGGGAACTACTTGCTCAAGTATATTTAACACCTTGTAGCCACAGTATACATCACCATCTCTTTAGATGGAGCAGAGAAAGGGAGGTGTTTTGTGTGTGTGTGTGTGTGATGGTGGTTTGAGTGTGTGTGTGTGTCTGTCTGTGTGTGTCTTTTTCAGAAGGGGTTGAAGACCCAGTCGCTGGGAATCTCTCAGGACTAAAGAAACAAGGTCCCAAAAGCAAATCAGAGGTTTTGATCTCTGCATTTTCTTTCCGGAGAGAGAGGAGTGAGATATGCCTCTGTTTCTTGGTTAATAGATTAAAATGTGTAGATTCCGAGACAAGTTAATAGAGCCCTTTGCAATCACCAAGTACAAATGGAGACTTATAGTTGAAAATATCAAAGCTAGCCAGGCTTTCAACTGTTCGGCAACGCATTTACAACAAATATAGTTTTGAATAGAAGTACGGTCTACATAAAATGGGCTGAAAGGGGGAAAGGGGACGGAAGGGGGGGGGGCGCGGAGGTCTGAAGACAAGTGAAAGCCTAGTGGGAGAAGGCGCGGGAACTGAGTGCGTACCTCTCCTGGGTACGGATTTAAGACAGCTGCTGGCGTGCGAGTTGCCTGAGACTTGGCGGCGAGTCCCCAGCTCTGCTAGCCGACCCGCGGGTGTCCTCCGCGCGCGAGCGAGTAAGCGAGCGCGGTGCCAGCGGCGCGACCCTGGCAGGCAAGATAAGAAGGAACCGCCTTGCCCTCTCCCCAGTGTGGGGCACCTGGCGCAGAAAAGCGAGGGCTACTAGATAAAGCGTGAAGCCGGGCAAGCACGCCGGCGACCACGGGAGGAGAGGGCTGAACCAGGTGGGGGTAGGTGAGGGCTACTGGGCATTCTATGGTCAAAGTTTCTTTCCTGTTGAAAAGAAAGCCTGGCCAGGCGTGGACCTGTGGATTCCTGAGGGCCCCCTTCACGGGGGCCATCCCTGTTTTCGGGTGGTTTTACTTAAGAACTTGCCTGACATTTCCTGGGAAAGGACGTAATAAAAGCCCCTCGCTGGTGGCAGATTGTTGAGCCGTAGGTGGGAAGGGATCAGTCGGCTGGAGCTGAGAGAAGGCTGTATTTTCCTGATTGGAAAATGGGAACTTCCACGCTGAACAATAGCCCCTATTAGTGAGGTTATTCGGTTTCAACTGTCCGGCCACATTTACAGCCGGGTCCCTACTTTCCTGGCATTGCTTAATTGGATGCATTTGTTGGCCACTGCGAAGCCGCCCGTGACTCTTGAGCTACTTGCCCCAGGGACTCTTACAAAGCATTATTTCTTGAATAAACGAGAAAGAGCATTTTCTTTTCTTTTTGTCTTTTTCTGAACCGACTCGATATATTCTTCCATTTCTCCTTAATATTTATAGGTTTTCTTTTCTGTTATTTTAAAGCATTCAAAGTTAGGAACACTTTATAATTAAAAAATGTTTACCGGTTTAACCTAGAGGATTATGCACTTTGATTTCCTTTAGCTGGGTAATTCAAATTGCATATAGTCAGAAGACAAGGGCTTCTCCCCATGCATCAAACAAACAGTCGTCTTAACAAATAGTAAGGTTCAGAGAGAGAGAGAGAGAGAGAGAGAGAGAGAGAGAGAGAGAGATAATTTACCAAGATACATTCCTCAGCTCTCCACTATATGTGTATAGCCTATTTAAATGAAGAAAATAAAAATCACACTTCCTATTTATTGTCTCCATGCATCTCATATCTTCATACCATGTTGGTGTGGCCTTGCTCTAGTTCTACAGGCAGGCATATATTCTATGATTTATTTTTGATTCATCTTTCCCAGCCTATTGATGAAATTGATAATCACTTCCACAACATTCCATCCTTCTTCATCATGTAAAGAAGGAAACATTTGTAAGGAAGAGGGTTTCTTGTTTGTGGAGGACGGTGTCACTGTTCCTGTGCAACCTTGGTGTAGAAAACAGCAGCTTAGACACTCAGATGAGAGTGTTGTGGATTTTTTTTCTGAAATAGATTAGTTTGGGCTGTTTTCTCTTTTGATATTATACATTACTTTCTTACAGCTAACATGCAGAGTTAAAAACTACTAAATCCTTATCCTCAACACTATTGATTTCTTTTCATTCTGTTCTGTTCCTGGGAGAAGCAATGCTCCCAGCTCACCCTGCCGCGCTTCCTCCAGACGGTTGACAATTGCAATCGCAGTTTCGGGAAGATAAATGTTACTTTGGGAATTGTGTCTAATTACAAATAATTTAGGAGCTGCTCCGGGTCTCTGGGCTTTATCACACATGTGCTCATATCCCAGTACACGGTTGGAAAATGGGAGCATTTGTGATTAGGGTTACAGTTTCCTTCCTAAAACACAGAGCAAATCATGATGCTTCTTTGGTCTCATCGCACAGATTAAAACACCACCACCAAAAAGTGTGGGGACTCCAAAATACTTAAAAGCCTGAGGAAGAAAATGTTCTACAGAGTTTACTTTTGGCTTAATTTTCTTAAAATGAGTACTTCAGATCCTTTGCACAAATCCGTTTCTATAGGGAGTGTTTTTTGAGCTTATATACATAGATTTTCTTCATGGGTTCTTTTTCTGCAGGAAATTCTGTGCCTTTCTGCCGAAATCGCTCAGTGATTATGTTTTACAGTTCATCTTGTAGCTGTTGCTACCTTTGTGTGTGTGTGTGTGTGTGTGTGTGTGTGTGTGTGTGTGTGTACGTACATGATTCTTTGCTTATATGGCAGTCAATTAGTGCTGTTGTGTGTATGTGCTTGCTTTTTTCTAATAGTCTTATTAACAAGAAAAAGGTGGTGAGCAGGTTATTCTCCTAACCTGACCTGGCTGTACGAGTAAGATGAGCAGCACTGAGCAGATGTCCCCATTTAAGCCGCTCTTTTCCCACATGCCTGCTGGATATTGCAGGCGCGCAGGAAGCTCGCTTCAAACCTGGCCCATTTCAGGCCATAATGGCCACGTTATTTCGGCCCAGTGAACACGAACAAAATCGCGTGCTTTAGAATCATTCGACTCTGAGTCCAGGAAAAGCGGGGGTGTGTGGTGGCCGTGGCGGTGGCTAGGGAGGGGTGGGGGGTGATTTCATCTCGGATCGCAGGAAGAGAACTTGCTCAAAAGAATTTTTCCCCAGCAAATATAGTATAATTTACAGCGCAACTTAATAATCCGAAGGGCAATGCAAAAGCCCTTTGCGTTGTAAACCGCTTCTAATTACCTGCCAGAGCAATTAGCTGACTATCACGAAGAAATTAGATCGCTCAATGTAGCATAAATAATGCGAATAATTTTGTAAGAAGAATGGAAAGCGAGACCTGGTGTTTCTTTATAAGGAAATAACACCTCGTACTGTACGAACCCTCCATGAACACATATTAATGTCTAGGCATGCATGGCAATGAGTCCAGGCAGGAGCCCTCTGGCTGCCGTTCAGCACTTTTTCCGTTTACGTATGCGGGGTGAAAGTCGGCTTCCAGGCGTTCGATCTGCAGCCTTCCAGCTCACAGTAATTAACACATAGCGACTTCAATGGGAAAACCTGTTTTCCAGATGATTTTTACAATGCAGCTTTATGTCTCATTTGGCAGTTTAAATAGCTGGAGTTGTTTTCTGGCTTCATCTCCACTATCATCTGTTGAGCATATTTTGCTTAGCATGTTGAATCCCAAGCAAAACTTGGGCACAGCCTTGTATTGACTTTTATTTTCTCAAATGGGAATATGAGGAGTAACTTTATAGGACACAAGGGTCAGGGATTCTTGGGAGGTGGTATTTAGCCTGCCTGTGTGTGAAGGATATTGAAATGTTTGCTTCTGGGCTTCTCTTGGACTTTTAACTAAAATCTATCTTCATTAGGTTTCAAATCTAGTTTGTTTCTCTTAGTGTTTCCTACCCACATAGGAGTCCAGATGTGTGAGTTCACACGTTCCTCAGTAAAGCAAGCCAAGAGGAAAGGAAGACCTAATTTTGGAAGAAAGCTGACAGTGCAAGAAGTGTCTGAAAACACAATCAAACTCTTGGAAACCTATTGGATTTGTAAATTACAAATGAGAACAGAACTCCAAAAGCTATCCAGGAGGAGTATGCTGCCAGCACCTGTGGAACTCTCTCCCCCAGAGAGGGGGAAGGGCAGTGGGCGTTGCTTCAAGTGAATGACCTTCAAGGGAAGGGAAACGAGAGCCCACCCTTTCTCTGGCTGTGTAGGCATTTCTCACATTTAAATCAAATGTGAGAACTACCTAGGAGAATTTGGGGTCTGTGTTGGTCATAAAAGCATGAAATTTCAGCAGTTTTGCTGAATGTCTCACAGTGGTCTCTGCTGTGAGTTCTGTTCCAAGAGACCTGCCCCCCACCAGACTAAGGTGGGCACTCCCTTTCCCCATGAGCAGCTCATCTCTGCTCTATGGGAGTGTTGGCACAAGATATTCCCTAAGGATCTTTTCAGTCTTCAGTCAGTGAGTTCTGAGTTCTTAGAAATTATATTGGACCAAGGGGCCACACGCTCATATTGTCTCCTCCTCAAGAAATAACAGTTTTGATTATGAGTGAGATTTAGACGGAAACTGTAGGGATCCAAGCGATTATTTCCATCAGTTCTGACCTGCCTGCAAAGAGGGTTGCTTTTGTTTGGTATTTGGTCTATACACTCACCTCTTTAGAGAGGCATTAGTCACCGTAGGCTCTTTCCTATCTGAATTTAGAATTCGTGGGCTGAGGGCCAGGCAACAGGGTATACACCTACACAGAGACTCATTTTGCAGCAACCTTCTCCACTTTAAAAGATGCTAAGGTTTTGTTGTTGTTGTTTTTTTAACCACACAAATCAGGAAAATTTTACAACCACTGGGTTCAAGGGCACTGAACTCCACTATCATCAGAACCAAGTTCCCCCTTCCAATCCCAGAAGAAAAGCCTCCCATCTAGAGAGAACAGAGCTACTATTCTTCCTTTCTTTCTTTCATCCTTCCTTTCTCTTCCTTCCTTCCTTCCTTTCTTCCTTTCTTTCTTTCTTTCTTTCTTTCTCCCTTACCTTCCTTTTTCCCCTCATTTTTGATTTTGATTTTCTTTAGGCCTGTATTCAGCAGTGGTTACTTATTAATCTTCATTTTTGCTTATCAATTAGAAAAGTAATTAATGTTGGAAACTTTAAAACATCTTCAACCTATTATTCCAATTTGAATTAAGTTTTGAAACTTTGTTTCTCCCAAGCACTTCAAATCACCTACTTCATCATCAGTAGCCAAGAAGATTCTCTGTCTCAAATGATAAGAACCCCTGCTGGTCACCAAAGGAGTCTGCCCCATTTAAATTCAAACTAAGGCCCAGAAATGCAGAGGGAAGCAGGATCAAACTTTTTTTCAAGTAATGCCTGCACTTAACCGACCACAGCCACTATCATTCCTCCTGTCTCTTTTGTCTTTATTAAAATGAATCATTCTTTTCACAATTCGTCCCCAGCTCTTTTTTCAGGGGGGGGGGGGAGGAGAAGATTCTGTAACGTAAAAGAAGTTGGATTGATTATTGTCATTCTGTAATTATCCAATGCAGCCTCATAAGGCGGGCACATTGGTCTTTGATCAATACTGAAGAGAGCAAACATTTGTAGAACACAGACCCACAACTCTTCTGTCCACACGTGGTATTTACAGCCCTCAAATGGAGTGTCCATTACTTTCAAAGGGTAGCTATTAAGGACAGTTTTTCTATAGATGGTGCCTCAGTGATATTCCAACCTGGACATCTCCCCTGACCCCAACTCCTTTGTGAAGTAGGGAAAATCAGTTGTCATCAACCACAATGTTGTTACCAGTGCTATGCTTTGCCTGTACACTCGACATATGGACAGTAACAAACTCGCATTCTTTGTCTGCCTTGGTTATGAAATCCCCTAGTCTCAGAGAACAGGAGGAGGAAAGGGAAGCGACTGTCAGGACTAACATACTGACCAGGTGGAGGCAGCCTCCGAAACAAGGCTGCAGCAAGCCAAGAGCCCGCAGCAAACCAATATATGCAAGTTTTTAAGTTAAAAGCTACCTGTGCTGTTATTTTCTTGACTGATATTAGGACACTGAGTATGTTAATGCATTGGGTGTTTTAATCGACGTTATCAAATACAACTGAAATAGTTACTGTATGCCTTTGATATTCATAAATAATCATATTAGGCAAAACGCCAACCAAGTCAAAAGTACACTTTTGCTTAAGCAACGATGAGCAGAATTTCCTTCTCCCCTAGCACAGTCATGGGAAAGATTTGGACACCGAGTGTATCCAAGGCACTTAGCTGCTGTGTGC